TGCTGCTTGGCCTGCTGTGTTCACCCAGCTCTACACCTTGTTATCTCAGATTCTCCAGCATCTGCAGTTCCTATCTCTGCATCCAGACCAGGTTTACCAACACTGCGCATCATTCCAGACTGCTGTTGACTAATGACCTCGTAACTGGCTGGCCTGGGGAACATCACAAAATCCCTACAATGTGGAAGGAGCCCATTCGGCCCATCGAATCCGCACCTACCCTCTGAAGAGAATCCCACCCAGACCCAGACCCAGACCCCCCGCATATTCCATAAACCCACATATCTACTATGGCTTATGCACCTAGGCTACACATCCCTGAACGCTATTAATAAGTTAGCATGGCCAATCCACTTAACCTGCCCATCTTTGGATGGTGAGAAGAAATCGTTAGCACCTGGAGGAAACCCACACAGACACAGGGAGAACATGCAAACTCCACACAGGCAGTCACCTGAGGCTAGAATTAAACCTGGGTCCCTGGCGCTGTGAAGGGAGCAGTGCTAACCAGTGAGCCACCGTGCCAGAGATTTGCTGGCTAAAGGGAAAGTGCTTACAAAATGCCAGATCCTACAGATGCATATTCTTTGATGAACACTGAGGAATCATATACTTACCGCATAGACAGGACAATAAAGATTTATGAGGTTGTTGACTTGCTCGCCAAGCTGCCTTGCTTTTGTTTAGACGTTCCATCACCATGCTAGGTGACATCTTCAGTGGAGCCTCCGATGAAGCGATGTTATTCTACTTCGCTTGGAATTTATACTGTCCAGTCTGTTATGATGGGTACTGTCATTTCCGGTTTTGATCTGTATGGGTTTAAATGTGGGGTCCAATTCTATGTGTTTGTTGACTGAAGTATGGGTGGAGAACCATGCCTTAGGGAAATCCCGTGCATGTCTATGTTTGGCTTGGGCTACTATGGTTACCTTGTCCCAGTTAAACTGACAGCCTTCATTGTCTGAGTGTACAGATATTAAGGAGAGTTCGTCGTGCCATTTTGCTGCTAGCTGATGTTCGTATATTCTGATGGCTAGTTTCCTTCCTGTCCGGAAACTGGAAATGACACTACTCACCATAACGGGCCAGGCAGTACAAATTCCAAGCAAAGTAGAATAACATTGCTTCATCAGAGGCTTCACTGATGATGTCACCTAGCATGGTGACGAAATGTCTGAACAAAAACAAGGCAGCTCGGCAAGCAAGTCAACATCATCCACAACCCGAGTTACAGATCTTTGCCAATACTTTAAAGATTTACTAGGTCAATTTCGTGGACAAAGGGATAGTCCTTTGAGGAGATGTTGAACATCCAAACGAGGAACAAGAGTAAGCCCTACTTGGAACCTGCTCCGCCATTCAATAAGATTTGATTTTAACCTCCACTCTACGTTTCCTGCGCACCCCCGATAATCTTTCATCCCCTCGCTGATCAAGAATCCATCCATCTCTGCCTTAAAAATACTTAAAGATTCTGCATCCACTACCTTTTGAGGAAGGGAATTCCAAAGACTCTCAGGCCTCTGAGAAAAAAAAAAATGCTTCTTCAGGACCTTAGTTTAATGCCTTATCTGAAAGATGTCACCTCCAACAGTCTAGGACTTTCAGCAGCGCTGCGAGACTGGTGAACATCAGACTGGATTACGAGCTAAAAGCAGGGGCCTGTCAGACGCGAGGTTTCAGCCACCAGCAATCTAGAGTTAGACAACCCCTCAGAGTGCACTGAGTGTGGCGGCTTCACCTTGAACTCCTCCATGATCTTGCGGACGGCCTTTCCCCGGCCCCCAATGATGCGGGCATGAACCCTGTGGTCCAGATTGATGTCCTCGCTGACCATCTCCTCCAGGTCGGCGACAATCTTCATGATGGCATCCTTGGCAGATTCAGTGTTCCTCTCGTAGCCCGTGATGGAGATCATATCCTGCAAGGACGCAACAAATAAACAGACAGGGTCAACACCAGATGGTCAACCCTCTCCTTTGTCCACAAACACAGCACGCAGCCAGGACCACGGTTATATAAGTTCTAACGTACAAGTAATAAATGTGACTCAGTACCTGCTCTGTTCACTGACCTACTCTGGCTCTCAGTCCAGCAATTTTAAAATCCCCAGCCCTCCATAGAGAGTCTGTACCATTGTTCGGAGATGTCCCGCGGAAAGGAGGACTGCACTGGGTGGGATGAAATTCCCATTGCTGATATGTGAGTAGTCTGCTTATTGCTGGCTTTGACCAATTCTAACCACCGCCCAATCCCAATGTGATCAGGAGTAACACTTCCAACGCCTTCCTGACCTTTACAGATGTGTTCCCGGCTGCCAAATTGGAGGAGATGCAAAATTGCCAAGAATAGCTGGCTTGCTGTTTCAAAGTAAGAAAATATGCATTTATACAGTGCTTATCATGACTTACAGCCAAGTAACTACTTTTGAAATGTTGCAATGCAAAAGACGTAGCCCTGGTTGCCAATGTGCGTGCAGTAAGCTCCCACTGGTAGCAATGTGTCAATGACTAGATAATGTGTGATTTGCTTGTAATGTTGACCGGGATAAATATTGGCCGGGACACTGGAGAAGACTCCTTTGCCCTTCTTCAAAATAAAGGTAATGTGTTTTTATCACATCCACCTGAGTCTGGAAATGGGGCCTTAGTCTCATTGCAAAGACTGCAGCGCCAACTGTGCAGCATTTCCCCAGAGTTTTGGTGCCCATGTCCAGACTGAGACTTGAACTAGTGACTCAGAGATGTGAGTGCCACCATGTGATCCACGCACATGAGCTGACAGTGGTTACAGCACTGGTCAAGAACTGTCTTTTTAATTCTTTCACAGAATTTGTTGGCTGGGCCAGCATTTGTTGTCCATCCTTAACTGCCCCCCGAAAAGATAGTGGTGAGCCACCTTCTTGAACACAAGAAATAGGAGCAGGGGTAGACCATTCAGCCTATTGAGCCTGCTCAGACATTCCGTACTATCATGGCTGATCATGGGTTTCAACTCCACTTTCCCGTCCACTCTCCATATCCCTCGATTCCCTGAGATTCTGAGAACCTGTTGACCTCAGCCTTAAATATGTTCAACAATCCGCCCCTTATCCTGAGACTGCTTCCCCACTGGGTCAGGAGATCTAAAACAGGAGGGGACAATTTCTCAGCATCAAACCTTTTCAGAATCTTGTTGGTTTCAATGACTTCACCTCTCTTCAACACTCCTGTGAATGTCACCCATACTTACTCAGCCTCTCATCAAACAATAATCCCCTCATCCCAGGGATTAATTTAGTGAACCTTCGCATTGCTGTCTCCAATACAAGTATGTCTTTTCTTAGACGTGCAGACCAAATTTCATTGTATTTCAGCAGTCATAGAGTTGTACAGCATGGAAACAGACCCTTCAGTCCAACTTGTCCATGCTGACCAGATATCCTAAATTAATCAAGTTCCATTTGCCACCATTTGGCCCATATCCCTCTAAACCCTTCCTATTCATGTACCCATCCAGATGCCTTTTAAATGTTGTAATTGTACCAGCCTCCACCACTTCCTCTGGCAGCTCATTCCATACATGCACCACCCTCTGCGTGAAAAAGTTACTCCGCTAAGTCCCTTTTAAATCTTCCCCCCCCACCTCACGTTAAACCTATGCCCCCTAGTTTTGGACTTCCTCATCCTGGGAGAAAAGATCTTGACAATTCGCCCTATCCATTCCCCTCGTGATTTCATAAACTTCTATAAGGTCACCCCTCAGCCCCAGCCTATTCAGCCTCTCCCTGTAGCATCATGTTGAATGCTATTAAAGGAGGGATTCCAGTTTTTTGACACAGTGACAGAATGGCCGATGTGGTTTCAAGTCAGGCTGGTGTGTGGCTTGCAGGGGAGATTGCAAGCTGTTCAATTTTTAACACTAGCAACCTCTTCAGGACTAAGCTACACATTTCAATGGAATGGGAGCGTTTGCCATGCCAACTCAAGGGTCTTGCCTGGATTGTTCAAGTAAACCATTACACCTGTAGAGGGATGGAGTTGAAACCTCTGTCGATTGACACTGGTGTAGCAAGTGGAATCCTTACCAGTGAAGATGAGGATTACCTGATTTTCATCCCCCTTGTCAGGGAACTGAATATTAACATCATGGTCTTTCCGAATCTGCGAAATGACAGCTCCTTTCCTTCCGATAATCTTTGGATGGTACTTGGGATCGACTGACATGATCAACTTGAAGCCTCGTAAAGCCTGCAAGAAATGCTGCACTATGACTGACCTGCACTTGGAGAAGGGCATGGGTTCAAGCCCCACGACAGATCGAATTTATTCTTATATTGGATTGCAAACGTTTTTTCTGATAGAAATCAAGCTAATGAACATTTGACTGAATAAAGTTCCCGCCCTTTCGCTAGGTAAGGCGACCCTTAGGTTGATCACCTGCCCAGTGAAATATTAAACCGCATCTTCCAGCTCTTCTCTTTTGTCAAAATTGGAACTAAAGTTGGGAAATGCACATTGGCATCCTGTAGAATTCCTGATGCTCTAAAACTACACTGGAGTTCCAAAACTCCAATGGGCTGCTTTCCACTGCTCCAGTCCGCTGTAGAACTGAGCTCAGGGTTGGAGACTGGGGCCTGATGTGTGGTACTTAGCTTTCTATTTGCCCTGGAAATGCTATGGTGGTTAATACCATATGACCATAACATATAGGAACGGAATCAGGCCATTCGGGACAGCATGTCAACTCTGCCATTTGTTCATGTCTGATATGTTTCTCAGCCCCATTCTCCCCGTAATACTTTATTCTCTCACCGATCAAGAACCTATCTTCTCAGTGACTTGGCCTCCACAGCCCTCCGTGGCAGTGCGTTCCACAGTTATTTTTTATTCATTCATGGAATATGGGCATCACTGGCTGGGCCAGCATCTATTGGAAATCTCTAATTGCCCAGTGTGCAGTTAAGAGTCAACCACACTGTTGTAGATCTGGAGTCACATGTAGGCCAGACCAGCTAAGGATTGCAGTTTTCTTCCCTAAACTGCCACCAGCGAACATGCATTTTCTGACGATCGACAACAGTTTCACACTCATCATTAACTCTTAATTCCAGATTTTTAACCAAATTCAAATACCACCAACTGCCTCGGTGGGATTTGAACCTGCGTTCCGGGATCAGTCTCTGGATTAGTAGTCTGGTGATAATGCCACTAGGCCACCAATTCCTATAGATTCACCACTCTCTGGCTGAAGAAATCCATCCTCAACTCAGTTCCCTTCACTCTGAGGCTATGACTAGGCAGGCCCCAGACTCTGGAAATATCTTCTCTACCTCTACTGTATCTAGGCCTCTCAGCAGTCTGCAATGTGATCCCCTCATCCTTCTAATGAGTACAGACCCAGACTCCTCAACTGCTCCTCATATCACAATATCAGCTCCATCTCAGAGATCTGGATAGTCTAATTGAACCGTGCACCACTCCTGATATTCCCAATCACCCTTCAGAACTAACCTGACTCCCTCACCAAGCCCCTCTCCCCGACCCAACCAACTGGCTCTCGACTGAAAAACTCGAGACCTTGCAAAACGTACCTCGAAATGACACAAGTGTCGGGGAAAGATGGTGTGTCCTCTCTGTCTATTTCTTCTTGTGTCTAATGGCCTTCCCCCCCAGATATGTGGTGGTCCCATCAATGCTGAGGCAGGGATCAGAAATCCCGGCTGAACATTCACGAAGGGGACCGACTGCAGCAACTGTCATGGGCAGAGCCAATGCACATGGCACCAAAGTGGGCTGCGAGACCTGGGCCATCGTTTCGGCAGTTTAATCCTGACTTCCCTTTCGAACAGCGTTCTGAGCTGGGTGATGCACATCGACAAGATCTGGTGCCTTTAGAATCCTAAATTCAACAATTTTCGCACCTCTCAACCCTCCCTTTCCCAGTGCAAACTTTTACAGTTGACACGATTACTCCTCCCAATCCAATCCCTCAAACCTTTTGAACAATCTGGCTACTCACTTATAATAGCAGAATGTCCTTCCCTGGACTGTGGGGACAAGAACTGTACACAGCATTCTGACACACTCTGCCCAACAAAAGCGAGACCAACGAAGGCTAGAAGTCTTTCAATTAAAAACTGCGCAGTGGTGCGGTGCCAGCATTTGTTACACATCCATAAACACCCTGGAGAAGGTAGTGATGAAACTCTTTCTTAAACCACTGCAGTCCATGTTATGTAGGTACTCCCACACTATTGTTTGGGAGGATTTTGACCCAGTGACAGGAACAGTGATGTTGTTCTAAGTCTAGATGGTGCATGGCTACACGTGATTCCAGACCACCAGCAGTGTGCTTCACTCTCAAACGTCCTCTTGAAATGGCCGAGGAAGCCACTCTGTTCGAGGGCAACTATGGAAGGGCAATGAGAAGCTGGCCCAGCCAGCAATGCACACCCCTGTGAAAAGTAAAGGGAAACTACAAAACCCTGAAATGCAATGAGCGCTGCCTCGAGTGTACTCTGCCACAGACCCAGTGAGCTCCTCCGGCCCGCTGTCATCCACCCGCAGTACACGGGGAAGCTCACCCTGTCCTCTTGCTCCGCCTGCAGCTCCCTGACCCGCTCCAGGATCCCGGCTCGCGCCCGCTCCAGGTTCACCGCCAAGCCAGTGATTTTGATAACATCGGACTGCTGCTCCGGGGGGGGGACCGCGATGTTCACCTGAAGGAAGAGACAGAATGGGAGAGAGAGAATGAAAGAGAGGGAAAGAGGGCTACACCTGTGATGGACATCACATAACGATCTGGAGCGAACAAACTTCCTACTGCCATTACCAGCAGAGAAACCGGGACGGGTTTCATTAATATGGTGGGGTGGGAGATGTGAAATTAACAGATGGTGGATGTTTGGCATTCTCAAAGCCTGTGGAGACTCAGTCATTAAGCAAGTTCAACCCTGAGATTGATAGATTTTGAGATATTAAAAAGCATCAAGGGATATATGGGATAGTATGTGAAATTGGTGTTGAAGCGGAATAGCCATGATTTCACTGTGTGGCAAAGGAAACTTCAGGGCCGAACAGCCTCCTCCTGCTCAATTTAAATTATTTGATTTGATATTTATTATGTTCTGTATGTTTTGGCTAAAATAACATTCCGTTTTTCTCTTCTCTGTACAAAGTAGATGAACTCAAATATACTGCATTATACTGCACCTGCTTAATTTTCATAGAGTCCCTACAGTATGAAAGCAGGCCAGTTGGCCCATCGAGTCCACACCACCCCACCGGTGAGCATCACACCCAGACCGCCAACCCTCCTTCATTCCTCTAACCCTTCATTTCCCATGGCTACCCCACCTAAGCCTGCACATCCCCAGACACTACGGGGCAAGTTAGCATGGCCAATTCACCTAACCTGTACTTTGGACTGTGGGAGGAAACCCACGCAGACACGGGGAGAACATGCAAACTCCACACAGACAGTCACCCAACGGTGGAACTGAACCCTATTCCCTGATGCTGTGTGGCAGCAGTGCTAACAAGTGAGCCACCGTGCTGCCTAATGTTAGACACCCCACCCCACCCCTCATTTAAGATATCCATATCCCATTGCAGATTCTTTGGCATTCATAGCAATGTGCTGTTCAACCTATCATTGTATTGTTGAAAAATTTGGCTAAAATGCACCCTGCCCCTTTATAAACTGATAAGCACACACTATAGATCCCTGTGGCACTCAACTGGTTATAGCAGGCCAACCTGACAACGAATGTCCCAATTATCCCCAGCGTACTCAAGAAGCATCCGAACTGGTTGCTGGTCGGAGGGATTGTGAATTGTCCCACTGCATGAAAGCACTTGCAGATTGCTCAGTAATCTCCTCCTAGGCGTGAACAGTCAGAAAATCTGCATAACAAGCTGCTGTGCAGCAAAGTGACAGCTGGGGGCACAGCTGCACCTGTAAACAACAGCAGCAGAAAGGAATACCTCATGGCCTACAGGCACTTGTGAGATCACACAGGCTATTCACAAATAGGCGTCTGTGGTGCCTCATTTGGTACAACTATTGTTACCTCTGAGTCCAGAGTTTTGAGCCAGTGATCAAGCTAACAGCGGAGGACTGTGTGAGTGCTGCACTGTCTGAGCTGCAGTCTATCAGCTGAGACTTTGAACCAAGGAGCCCCTGGAACCTTCAGAGGCACTGTTTCAAAGAACATTCGAAAAGGAGAGTGCAGCAGAGGAGGGGTCTCCCACCACCACCACAACAGGAAAATAATGCGGATGCTGGAAATCTACAATTAAAACAGGAAATGTGGAGAAGCACAGGAGCTCTGGGAGCACCTGGGAAGACTAGTTTAGTTTGGCAACATGGTTGGTGTAGACTAGTTGGACTGAAGCGTCTATTTCCATGCTGCACGTCTTGATGAGTCTATGACAGAATCAGAGATGACATTCAAATCCAATATGACTCTTCATGGATATAGAAGAAAAGTTGTATTGGACTCAGACAATTAATCCTGATTCTCTCTCCACTGGTGCTACCATACCTGTTAAGTTTCTCCAGTGCTTTTTGGGTTTTTTTCTTTTTGGAAGCTCTCCCTGCAATGTCCTGGGTCAACAGTTATCCCTTAACTGATATTATTAACAGAATATGTGGCCAATTTAGCACATCTGTTTGTGGGAGCTTGCAGTGCACAAATTAGCTGCTGCAGTCTCTTTGATTACAACATTGCCTATACTTCAAAAAGGTAGGGAGGGAGCTGCGGAAATATACATCTGATTCCTTCCTGTGCGAAGTCAAAAACCTGATACCAGGTCAAATTTTTCCTTTTACCGTTCACGATATCTATCACGATATGCCTTAAACCATGCTAACATACCTGCTTCCACCAACTCCACTGGCAATGCATTCCAGGCACCCACCCACCCTCTGTGTGAAAAATTATTCCCACATTTCTCCCCTAAACTTTCCCCATCTCACCTTGAACCCGTGCCCTCTTGTAGTTGGCCTTTCCACCCTCCAAAGTCCCAGACTATCGCCCCCATCTTGTAATTTTGTAGACCTCTATCAGGTCGTCCCTCAGCCTCTGTCTTTCCAGTGAAAATAATCCGAGTTTATCCAACTTCTGCTCATAATGAAAACCGTCCAGACCCAGGCAACATCCTGGGAATCCTTCTCTGCACCCTCTCCAAAGCATTCACGTCCTTCTGGTCGAGTGGCGACTAGAACTGCACGCAACATTCCAGATGTGGCCTGACCAAAGTTCTGTACTGCTGTAACATAATTTACTAGCTTCTACATTTGATGCCCCAGCCAATATTTGAACAGATCTGTGAAGGACACTGCAGGGCGCGATGGTCTGAGATAATTACAGGCACGTTGGCCCTTTGCTGTCAGGAAACCCGATCACGCAGGGTATCATAGAATCTATAGCACAAAACAGGCCATTCGGCCTGACTGCCCCATCGTTACCTCGTACTCCTCCATCATTTTGCGAATGCCGCTGCCTTTCTGCCCGATGATGTACCGATGCAGATCAAACGGAACCTCCACATCGACAGTAACCGGAACAAGGGCCTGGCAATAACAAAGGTTGAGTCAGGTTCCATCTGCACAACCCTCCTGCACTCAGATAACATTTATTTTTATTCGTTTGATGCTCAGCAGATCTGGGGACCCAGTGCTGCAGGATAGAGCACATTATCTTAGAGACATTGATCCTTCCCAGGACAGGTACAACACAGTGTTAGATACGGACTAAATCTCCCTCTACTCTGTCCCCATCAAACATTCCCAGGTAAGGTACAGCATCGGGTTAGGTAGAAAGTAAAGCTCTACACAGGGGAAGATGCTGCTACACTGGTGGTGACTCTGTCTCCCTTTTAAAAGTATTATGCATAGTCAATCAACCTCTGGCATAAAACAGCCTGCGTGCTTGCTGGGAGGTCCCAGAAATTGCATTACAGCCTTAAAGCATCAGAAAGGTCACGATTAAGGTCTCCTCAGCCTGACTGCTGCTCCAGGATAACGCTCAGCTTTGAGGCTGGGAAAGGTTGCCTCGTTAACACTAAACTACGGACCATTAAGAGATGCATGGTGACCTACCAGCAGTGCCTCACGAGCCGCCTCACACTTCTCCTTCCGGCCCGAGATGATGATGACATCGCACTTCCTGGGAGTGTGCTCCGATTCCCTGAGGTCAGAGTTCATGTCCCCATTTTCCTGAGGGTGCAGATCCAGACCTGCCCAGTGGCAAGAAACCAGCATGTGTCAGAAGGTCACGCACAGAGTGCTACGCATTGCAGAACCAAACTGGACCGTCTGCAGTAAGACAGGCCCTTCTGCCCCTCCATTCAGTGCGCGTTGAGACTCTTGCCTCTGAGTTACAAGGCTGCGGATTCAAGTCCCACCCTAGGGTTGAGCATGTAAATCACAGCTGGCGCTTTGGCCTGAAGGAGTGTTACACTGTCGGATGCACCGTTGCTCAGTTGAGGTGTTAAACCCAAGCACCACATGTCAGCCTGGGATAGATGTAAAAGAACCCACAGTATCAATTCAATATTTACCTCAAGGCAACTTCACAAAACAGGCCATTTAGCCATTATCACATTTCTTTTTGTGGGATCATGCTATGTGCAAATTGGCTGCTTTGTTTCCAAAGTTATACCAGTTATTCAACTTTGAATTGTAGAGTCATAGAGTCATAGAGTTGTACAGCACGGATAATCCAACTTGTCCATGCCGACCAGATATCCACAATTAATCTAGTTCCATTTGCCAGCATTTGGCCCATATCCCTCTAAACCCTTCCTGTTCATGTACTCATCCAGATGCCTTTTAAACGTTGTAATTGTACCAGCCTCCAGCACTTCCTCTGGCAGCTCATTCCATACACACACCACCCTTTCGTGAAAAAGGTTGCCCCTTAGGTCCCTTTTAATTCTCTCCCCTCCCACCTTAAATCTATACCTTCTAGTTTTGGACTCCCCAACCCAGGGAAAAGACCTTTACTATTCACCTTATCCATGTCCCTCCTGATTTTATGAACCTCTATAAGGTCACCCCTCAGCCTCCGACGCTCCAAGGAAAATAGCCCCAGCCTATTCAGCCTCTCCCTATAGCTCAAACCCTCCAACCCCGGCAACATCCTTGTAAATCTTTTCTGAATCCTTTCAAGTTTCACAACATCTTTCCTATAGCAGGGAGACCAGAATTGAATGCAGTATTCCAAAAGTGGCCTCGCCAATGACTGCAACATGACATTCCAACTTCTATACTCAATGCATCAACCAATAAAGGCAAGTATACCAAACGCCTTCTTCACCATCCTGTCTACCTCCGATTCTGCTTTTGGAACTATGAACTTGCACACCAAGGGCAACACCCCCAGGACCATAAAGTGTACAAGTCCTGCCCTAGTTTGCCTTACCTAAATGCAGCACCTCACATTTATCTAGATTAACGGCTATTTAATCATTAGTTGTACAGCACGTTGAGATGCTCAGTTTCCCTGAAGGGGGCTCTATGTAAATGCCAGTATTCCTTTCATTCAATTCCAATTATGGCTGATCAGCTCCATTTCTCTGCCCTGGATTTATATTCCCTTAAAACATTTTCCAAAAACAAAATCTTGCCACTGTAGCCTTGAAAACTCCATCTGGATCACTGCCTCCAGCAGCCTGTTGGAGACCAGGAGTTCCAGATCTCCTGCAGCCTTCATGCGGAGGAGTGTTTCCAGATATGGCCCTAGCTCTATATTTAAGTATATGCATGCCCAACCCACAACACCTCCCCAACCCCTTGATCTGGCTCCCACCCTGCCACGGGAAACAGTCTCTCATCCTTCCTCTCTTTTTCAAACGCTTTGAACCTCTCAGTTAGGCCACCCATTAAGCTTGATTGAGCACAGGCCACATTTATGTAACATGTCCTCTTTAAAGCTAACTCTTTCAGCTCCCCCAGGTATCATTCTGTGATTCCCACCCCTCCACGGTCAATACATCCTTCATGAAGTGCAGCAGCCAGAGCCGAACTGTTATTCCAGATGGGCTCTAGACCAGGCCTGGATATAACTGGCAAATCACCTCCACTACTTTGCATTCCAACGTCCCTGTACAAAATACTGAGGGGCAGCACGGTGGCTGGGTGGTTAGTACTGCTGCCTTGCAGCACGAGGGACCCAGGTTTGATTCCACCCTCAAGCGACTGTGCGGAGTTTGCACATTCTCCCCGTGTCTGCATGGGTTTCCTCCGGCAGCTCCAGTTTCCCCCCACAGCCCAAAGATGTGCAAGTTAGGTGAGTTAGCCATGGGAAATGCAGGGTTAAAGAGCTGGAGTGGGTCTGGGTGGGAAGCTCTTTGGAGGGGCAGTGTGGATTCAATGGGGCAAATGGTCTGCTTCCACACTGTAGGGATTCTGTGGTTCTTTAATGAAAATAAAACAAACAACTACAGATGCTGAAGATCTGGAACAAAAACAGAAATTGCTGCAGAAACTCAGGTCTGGCAGCATCTGTGGAGAGAAAACAAAGTTAGGTGACCCTTCTTCAGAACCAGACTCAAAACATTAACTTCTGTTCTCCCTCCACATGCCAGACATGTTGAGCTTTTGCAGCAATTTCTGTTTTTGTTGCCATGTTTTGTTGTTCTTTGAAGTGCTTCTCGTACCTGCAGGTTAATATGTTCCAGGCAAGGAGCTCCCGCTCTGGTTGATTTTAGCCAGGGAGGCTGGGCTAGGGACAGGTTAAAATCCTGCTCTTGATTAATAAATGACAACTTGCACTTACACAGCACCTTTAACATAGGAAGGCACTTGGTCAATCACTGAGGTTTTAGGGACCGTTTTAGAGGAGCGAGAGACAGGCAGAGGGGTTTAGCAAGGGAATTACAGAACTCAGGGCCCATGCAGTTGAAGGCACCGCTACCAGTGTCGGAGCAATGGAATTCAGGGTGTGCTACAGGCCAGAATCGGAGCAGCGCTGAGATTGTGGATGTTATAGGGCTGTAAAGACAGGAAGACTGAGAGACGGTGTGGTTGGGGGGGAAGAATGACATCACAAAAACAAGATTTGAGAGTTTTGAAACTGAGGCTTCAACACAGAATCTGTTTAGGTTGGGACAGGGTGTAATGACTTGGTGCGAGTCAGGACAGGGACAGTAGAGTTTAGGATGATCTGCTACACTTGTAGGATGGGGAGACAGGAAGATGGCCAGGAGAGAACTGGAATAGTCACGTCTGGAAAAAAAAATACATGTAGGGTTCACGACCTTGAAACTGCCCCCATGCTGCAAGGAAACATTGAGCCCAGCTGTGTGTCTTTCTGGGTCAAAACTCCCACCAACAATCTTTGTGTTAAGAATGCAAATCATCTGACCCATCTGTCTGTGCTGACTCTCTTCAAGAAGGTCTCGGCTAGTCGCACTCTCCTGCCTTTGCCCTGCAGATCTTTTCTCTCTATCTTATAAGCCACTTCCATGTTTATAAAGCCTTGATTGAACTGCCTTCCACTACACTCTCAGGCCATGCATTCCCGATGTTAACCACTCACTGTAAAAAATGATTTCCCTTGCGTCACCTCTGTTTCTTTTGCCAATTACTTTAAATTTGTGCTCTCTGGTTCGATCCTTCCACCGATGGGAATAGTCTCTCCCAAAATTCTCTGTCCTGAGCCCTCATGATTCTGAATAATGCTATTAAATCTCCTTCAAACTGCTCTTCACTGAGGAGAACAGTCCCAGCTTGTACAAACATATGAGTTAGGAGCAGGAGTGGGTCACTTGACCCCTTGAGTCAGTTCTGCCATTCAATAAGATCCCGGCTGATCTGGTCACTCCCCAGTAATCTTTTGCCCCCTTGCTGATCAAAAATCTACCCACTCTGCCTCAAAAATAGCCAAAAACTCTGCTTTACAGGGAGAGAATTCCAAAAATTCACAGCCCTCTGAGAGAAAAAAAATTGTGCCACTTAAGCAAGTGATGTGTTATTTCTGAATGGTAACTTCTACTGCTGGATTCTCCCACTAATCGCAAACTAAACTCATCCCACCTGCCTGCGCTTGGCCCATATCCCTCCAAATCTTTCCTATTCCTGAACTTATTAGGATGTCTTTTAACCCTTGCAACTGTACCCACATCCACCACTTCCTCTGGAAGTTCATTCCAGAGCCATTCTCTGTGTAAAAAAGTTGCCCCTAATGCCTTCTTTAAATCTTTCTCCTCTCACCTTAAAAATATGTCCCCAGTCTTGAAACCCTCACCTTACAGAAAAGACATTCAGCTTATTTAAATCCCTCATGATTTTATAAATCTCTATAAGGTCACCCTCAACCTCCTACATTCCAGAGAAAAGAGTCCCAGCCTGTCCAGCCTCTCCTTATAACTCAAACCCTCCAATCCCAGGGACATCCTGGTAAATCTCTTCTGAACTGTCTCCAGCTTTAATAATATCCTTCCTATAAAAGGGCAACCAGAACTGGGGGTCTCACCAATGTCTTGTACAACCTCAACATAAAGTCTCAACTCCCATACTCAAAGGTCTAAGCAATGAAGGTAAGCGTGCTAAACATCTTCTTAATCACCCTTTCTATATGTGACGCAGACTTCCAAGAATTATGTACTTGAACTCCTAGGTCTCTCAGTTCTACAATGCTACCTAAGGCCCTACTTTTAATTGTATAAGTCCTGCCTTTAAATACAATATCTCGCATTTATCCAAATTAAACTCCATCTGTCACTGCTCAGCCCACTGACTCATTGATCAAGTTCTCTTTGTAATTTTAGATAACCTCCATCATTGTTCACTGCACCTCAAATTCAGGTGTCATCCCCAAATCTTCTAATAACCATGCCTCCTATATTGTCATCCAAATCGCTTATATAAATGACAAGCAAAAGATTTGTAAAAACCCACCAACGTCCTCTTGGGAAGGAAATCGACCATCCTCACCCAGTCTGGCCTACATGTGACTCCAGACTCCACAGTTGGCTCTTAGAACTGCCCTCTGAAAAAGCCTCACCAGTTCTGGGGTCAAGGGCAATTAGGGATGGGCAACAAATTCTGGCCTGGTAGACAAAAGAGGGGAAAAAGAATCCTTGTCCACCTCCACGTCATCAAACATGCGAGACCTGTTTTAAATGTCTCACTGTGTCTTTCTTTCTAAACCTTTCCCCAACATTTCCAAACCTACTCCTTTAGTCAGTCCACCAAATCACCATTTTACTGCCATTGCTTGTCACTTTCATTGCTGTGAAGCCATTCTGTTTACTACAATAGCACCGCTGTATCAGACTTTGGATTCCTGGTCCCCCGTGTCATAATTACTGGGTTCGGCCCCACCCTGAAACCGCTAAATGAACATCTACCATCTAAATAAGGCTGATCTCCTCATCAACGCATGGAAAATCAACCTCCAGGGAGCAGCCCCATTGCCGTAGCGAGAGGTTATTTATAGACCGTAAACAGGCTCCATTAGGTCTCAAACACGTCTAAGCTGCCAAGCCCTGTCTCAGTAGGCCACGCTCATGCTTTAACCTGACAATGGCATGACTTCAAGCCCTTTCTCCAGAGATATAATGTGGGCTGTCACTTCAGTGGAAGTAAAGGGCTACGCTGTCGGAGAGGCTGCTAAAACGCTAAGTACCATCCCTGTCTGTTCAGCGGGATGTGAGTGGTCTGACAGTTCTCTTTGGAAGGAGTAAGAGTCTCCCAAACTACACTTATGCCTCAATCCAACACCAATAATGGCAGCAGTCAGATCTCCAGCATCACAGTTCTGTGCTGTTATACCATTAAGTACAATGTGAGGGGAGACACTGGTGTTGTTGCAGTGTCACTGGACTAGTAACTCAGAGCTAACACTCTGGGATAGGGTTTGACGTTCAGCATGGTAGACAGTGAAGTTTGAAATCAATACAGATCGGGAATAAAAAGCTAGCTAGCTAAAACCATTATAAAAACCCATCCAGTTCACTAAAATCCTTTCGGAGATCTGCTGTCTTTACCCAGTCTGGCCTATTTGTAACTCCAGACCTATAGCAATGTGTTTTGTTGTAATCCATTCACCATACACCAGGATTCATTGCTTCATCCCTAGTTGCCCAGAAGGGGCAATCATGTCGTGGCAGGGACAATGGACTTGCAATTCAGAGCCCCTCGGGCAGATAACAGTCAACCACATTGCTGTGAATCTGGAGTTACACAGAATTCCTACAATGTGGAAGCAGGCCATTCAGCCCATCAAGTCCACACTGACCCTCCAGAGAGCATCCCATCCAGTCTCACCCCATCCCTGTAACCCTATATTTTCCATGGCTAACCCACCTAGCCTACATATCCCTGGACACTCTGGGCAATTTAGCATGGCCAATCCACCCCAACCTGCACATCTTTGGACTGTGGAAGGAAACCGGAGCACCCAAAGGAACTCCACGCAGTCACGGGGAGAATGTGCAAACTCCACACAGACAGTCATATAAGGGTGGAATCGAACCTGGGTCCCTGTGAGGCAGCAGTCCTAAACACTGAGCCACCGTGCCCAGACCATGTTACCCAGACCAGGGGCAGATTTTCCTCCCTACAGGACATATATGAGTCAGATGAGTTTTACAATAATTGACAGTGGACCAGTTTATTGACAGTAGGCTAGTTTTTTTATTCCAGATTCTTACTGAATTCAAATTTCACCATCTGCCATGGTGGCATTTGAACCTAGGTGCCCAGAACATTATCCTAGACTTCTTGGCTCTAAGGAAACCAATCCCAACTTTTCCAATCTATCTTCAGAAATGAAATTAGAAGATGCAAATGCTGTCTAGCTTGGGTAGTAGAGGGTGAATGGCCACGAATACTTGGACAAAGGAATACATAAGAAAAAGCATCAGAAAGTACAATGACAGAATGCTGACCAAACACTGGTCAATGATAGATATGGAAACTGCAGTAACTCACCCAGGCTCCTTTGTTAGCATATTCCAATCTCTCAACCCCCAAAACCCAGAAAGACAATGGCAATAGATGCATACGACCCTGCAAGTTCCTTTCTAAATCCTACTTCATCCTGACTTGGAACTATATCACCGTTCCTTCAGAGGCTTTTTCCTAGGGCGGAAATGACTATTATGAGGGGGCACAATTTTAAGGTGATTGGAGGAAGGTATAAGGGAGATGTCAGAGGTAGGTTCTTCACACAGAGAGTGGTGGGTGTGTGGAATGTTGCTGAATCAAAAGCCCTCCTTAACAGCACTGTGGGTGTCTACACCACGCGGACTACAGCAGTTCAAGAAAACGGCTCACCATTCCTGTCTCCATGGCAATTAGAGATGGGTATTAAATGCTGGCCGAGCCAGTAATGTCCACATCCCACATACAACAAAAACAAAAATATGGGAAAACATTTTGCTTGGCACACAGACTTTCAAAGTTGAGAAAAGTCTGCTCTTTGTGATCTTTATAAATGACTTGGATGAGGAAGTGGAAGGGTGGGTTGGTAAGTTTGCCCATGACACGAAGGTTGGTGGAGTTGTGGATAGCATGGAGGGCTGTTGTAGGTTGCAACAGGACATTAACAGGATGCAGGGCTGGGTAAAGAAGTGGCAGATGGAATTCAACCCAGAAAAGTGTGAAGTGATTCATTTTGGAAGGTTGAATTTGAATGCAGAATACAGGGTTAACGGCAGGATTCTTGGCAGTGTGGAGGAACAGAGGGATCTTGGGGTCCACGTCCATAGATCCCTCAAAGTTGCTACCCAAGTTGATGGGGTTGTAAAGAAGGCGTATGGTGTGCTGGCCTTCATTGGCAGGGGATTTGAATTTAAGAGCCACGAGGTTACGCTGCAGCTTTATAAAACCCTGTTGAGACCACACTTGGAATATTGTGTTGCCTCATTATAGGAATGATGTAGAAGCTTTAGAGGGGGTGCAGAGAAGATTTACCAGGATGCTGCCTGGACTGGAGGGCAGGTCTTATGAGGAAAGGTCTTATGAGGAAAGGTTGAGGGAGCTAGGGCTTTTTCATTGGAGCGAAGAAGGATGACAGGTGACTTGATAGAGCTATATATGATGATGAGAGGCATAGACAGAGTGGATAGCCAGAGGCTTTTTCCTAGGCCGGAAATGACTACTACAAGGGGGCACAATTTTAAGGTGATTGGAGGAAGGTATAAGGGAGATGTCAGAGGTAGGTTCTTCACACAGAGAGTGGTGGGTGTGTGGAATGTGCTGCCGGTGGTGGCAGTGTAGTCAGATAATTTAGAGACTTTTAAGCGACTCTTGGATAGGCACATGGATGATAGTGAAATGTAGGGTATACAAGGTAGTTTGACCTTAGTAGGATAATAGGTCAGCACAACATTGTGGGCTGTAGGGCCTCTACTGTGCTGTAATGTTCTATGTTCTAAAAGTACTTTGAGCGAGATACACTCAGGGATGGGATCGCATACGTGAGATCTCTTGGTTTCTTTGGTTGCAGAAGACCATTTAATCCATCTGAACTATACCTTGACTCTCATCCCGCTCAGGAAATTTGATCTGCACGTCATAGTCCCTGGTGATCTGCTGCACCTTGGAGCCCTTTAGTCCCATGACCGCTCGATGAAAACGCTGTGGGATCACGCACTCCAGGGTTACCTGGGCTTCCTAAAAGACATATACAGCAAAGGGTATAAAAAAACAAAAGGGCTATTTTACAGGAGTACTTGTAAATACAGTGTGCTCAATATGTTCAAGTACGAGGTTTCCTTACATTAGACGGGCAGGTTCTAAATTTTACAGCATCCAGTTAAGATGCTGCAGTGTAGAAGCAACGCTTCTGGAGTACAGTGTACAGTTCTGGTCACGCTGCTATCGGAAGGATATTATTAAATTGGAGAGGGTGCAGAAAAGATTTACCAGGATGTTGCTGGGACTGAAGGGTTTGAGTTATAAGGAAAGGCTGGATAAGCTGGGACTGTTTTCACTGGAGCATAGGAGATTGAAGGTGACCTTATAAAGGTTTATAAAATCATGAAAGGCATAGATAAGATGAATAGCTAAGGTCTGTTCCCTAGGGTGGAGTATTTGAAAACTAGACGGCATAATTTTAAGGTGAGAGGAGAAAGTGGCACAACTTTTTCACACAGAGGGTGGTTCATATATGGAATGAACTGCCAGACAAAGTGATAGATGCAGGTACAGTTACAGCATTTAAAAGACATTTGGACAGGTACATGAATGGGAAAGGTTTAGAAGGATATGGGCCAAATGCAGGCAAATGGGACTAGTTTAGTTTGGGAAACTTGGTCGGCATGGACAAGTTGGATTAAAGGGTCTGTTTCCGTGCTGTATGACTCTATGACACTAATCTGCTCTTTGGTTTTCAATAACAACAACGTGCATTTATGTAGCAGCAATGTAGTAAAAGTCCCAAGGTGTTTCAAACAAAATATACCCACCTGAGGTCAGATGACCAAATGCTTGCTAAAAGACACAGGTTTCAAGGAGTGTCTTAAAGCCAGAGAGAAATGCAGAGAGGTTTAGGAAGGGAATTCCAGAGTTTCGGAGTCAATCAAGCAAAGGTATGGATGGAGTGACTGAAAAATCGGGACTGTGTAATAGGTTGGAATTTGGAAGAGCTCAGAAATGTGAGGGGATTGTGGAACTGGAGGAGCTTACAGTGAGAGGAGGAGCCAGGCCAGCAAGAAACTTGAAAGAGAAATAGGGCAACAATTTTAAAATCGAGGTGTAGTTCAGCAGAAACCAATGTGGATCAGTAAGCAGTAGGGTGATGGGGTGAGTAGAATTTGTTGAGAGTTAGGGTAGGATTTTATATAGTGGAGTTTATATAGTGTTTATTTGAGATTAGGAAAAGCTTCTGTACTCAAAGTGTGTGGTGAATCACTGGAATTCTCTACCACAGAGAGCTGTGGAGGCTTGATCATTATTAAATGACAAGACAGAGAACAACAGATTTCGAGACACAATGATATTTGAGGGTATGGGGACGGCACAGGAAAATGTCACAAAGGTTACAGAGTCATAGAGTCAGACAGCACGGAAACAGACCCTTTGGTCCAACCAGTCCATGCTGACCATAATCCCAAAATAAACTAGTCCCACCTGCAGGCGCTTGGCCCATATCCCTCCAAACATTTCCTATTCATGTATTTTACTGATATCTTTTAAACATTGTAACCTGTACCTGCATCCACCACCTCCTCTGGAAGTTCATTCCACACATGAACGACTGTGTGGGGAAAGAAGTGTCCCTCATGTCCTTTTTAAATCTTTCTCCTCTCGCATTAAAAATAAACCCCTTAAAAATCATGATGTAGAATGGGGGAGCAGCTGAACGTCTATCTCAGCTCCTGTCTTCCATTCGGTTACGTTTTCTTTGTAATCAGTTAACTTTCTGTGATGAAGGTTTCAGGCACAACCATCTGTGTTTCTCACTCTGCTGCCTGTTGCGTCTGGTTATGAAGATATCCTCTCCTGACCTGAAGGGTCATGCAGTTGGCACCTGATGCCAACTATTATTTCAATCTGTCGAATGGCATGTGCCAACATCAGTTCCTGTTTTTACTGAGAGACAGTATCAAAAGGATGAGGCTCAGGAATAATTCACTCAGCAAGTAATCCAAAGGATCAGCCTATTGCTCTGAGGACACGGGTTCAAATCTCAAAATGGCAGCTAATAGAATTTAATTCAATTGATAAATTCAACTAAGTAATCACCAAAAAGCCAGTCTCACTGACAGTGACTATGTAACCATCATCAATTTTAATAAAAAATACATTTGGTTCAATACTGTCCTTTAGGGATTCAGGAAATGTACTGCCCTTATTCGGTCTGGCCTGTGTGTGACCTCTGACCCATGGCAATGTGGTTAATTCTTAACTGCCCTGAAAGGCCAATTAAAGATGGGCAACAAATGCGAGCACCGCCAGTGGTGCCACATCCCATACAAACATGAGTAAATAAATGCTTTTGGAAGGTGAGGGACCGAACTTTGAATTAAATAGTCATAGTGAGAAAGAAATTGTCATAGTGAGACAGAATCACAGAATCCCTGCAGTGTGGAAGCAGGCCATTTGAATCCACACTGACCCTCCAAAGGGTATGCCACCCAGACCCACTCCCCCACTGTATAACCCTGCATTTCCCATGGTTACTCCACCTAGCCTGCACAGCTCTGGACACTACAGGACAATTCAGCATGGCCAATCCACCCTAACCTGCATATCTTTGGACTGTGGGAGGAAACCCATGTAGACACGGGGAGAATGCGCAAACCCCACACAGACAGTTGCCTGAGGCTGGAATCAAAACCAGGTTTCTGGCACTGTGAAGCAGCAGGGCTGACCACTGAGCCACCATGTCACCCCAGAAGCTGGCCATTTGGCCTATCATGTCCATGCTGGAAAAGCAAAGTGGAAATACTGCGATATATTCAACCCTGCAATCCACTACCTAAGTTCCAGTTCAGCGTCCCTCAGTGATACGTTTCTGCCAAGTCAGTGTGTCACCCTCTCACCTATGGGGGGCTGGAAAAGTGCTGGTCCCCCTCACCCGGGCAGTACCGAGGGGCTGCTGCGCTATCCGAGGTGCTGCCTTTCAGATGTTAAACTGATCCCCTAACTGCCCATTTGGCTGGGCACAGCAGATCACGAGGTGCCACCTGAAAGAGGGGGAGTTCTTCCAACCAGTATTTGCCACCATCACGTATCAGGTCCCTGTGTGTGGAATCTTGGCTTTGCATCTGAGTCCCAACAGGCAGCGCCACACCATGAAGTTAGTAAAAAAAGAACGGTTTCTGTGGGAATCTCTCTTCCTTTCCTGTTTGCTTACCAGGTCTCCGATGATCTCCTGGATTCGTCGTTTAGCTGCCTCCACGCAGTCCTTTGCCCCTTTTAGCACCACTCGGTCACTCTGGACCCCTGTGCGGGGGAAGCTGACCGTCACACCGCCGTACTCCTCCGCAATCTCACGTAGCACCTGCCCCCTGCGCGCCACAAAGTGCCGGTGATATTTGGGGTCCACGATCATCAAGTCTTCAATCACATTGTCCTGAAGGAAAAAAATCGCAGGATGAGGAAACCGCTCAAAGCCGAGACTGGGTGGGAAACATCCTTAGCCACTTGGAGGACCTCACGTTGGTGTGAGGGCAGACAGGCCTCTCGAACATTGGCCCGCTTCACGTGAAACTGGGGGCAACTCAGGACGGGTGGTTGGAAAGGCTACCCTGGGGAATTTTACCAGGCTCTCTCCACTCACGCCTGCATACCCATCACTGGGGGTACACAGAATTCTGCCCATGTGGTAAACAGAGGCCAATTTATGTCCATGTCTGCCAAAAAATAAGCTGCCCAGCCTAACACCATCTTTCAGCTTGTACAGAAACAAATAATTACTTGTTGGGACAGAATCTAATGCTAAAAAGAGACATGAAGTTTACACTGTTTGTGTTCCACTTTTAAGGATGAAATACAAGAAAACCAACTTTCAAAAGGAACCAACAACCCATGCAGTATGAGAAGATAGTGCTGATTGGTTAGACTATGATTGGCACAGAGATAGAATCATAGAATCAGAGAGTTGTAGAGCACGGAAATAGACCCTTAGGTCCAAAGTGTCCATGCTGACCAGATATCCTAAATTAATCTAGTCCCAATTGCCAGCATTTAGTCCATATCCCTCTGAACCTTTCCTATTCATATACACATCCATATGCCCCTTGAATGTTGTTTTGTACCAGCCTCCACCACCTCCTCTGGCAGCTCATTCCATACACGCACGACCCTCTGAGTGAAAAAGTTGCCCCTTAGGTCTCTTTTATATCTTACCCCTCTCACCTTAAACCTATGCCCTCTAGTTTTGGACTCCCCTACCCTGGGAAAAAGACCTTGGCTCCTCACCCCCTCATGAACTTATAAACCTCTATAAAAGTCACCCCTCAATCTCTAATGCTCCAGGGAAAATAGCCCCGGCCTATTCAGCCTCTCCCTACAGCTCAAACCCTCCAAACCTAGCAACATCCTTGTAAATCTTTTTTGCACCCTTTCAAGTTTCACTACACTGCCGTAGCAAATACACAAGTAATCTTCTCCACTAACAGATGCTGCTGTCAAGTCAGAAATATGTTTTGCTTACCATACAAATCAGTAATGTATATCAGTTTCAGTGCCAGTGTGATATGGTATATCAGTTTCAGTGCCAGTGTGATGTGGTATATCAGTTTCAGTGCCAGTGATGTGGTATATCAGTTTCAGTGCCAGTGTGATGCCAGTTATGTAGGCCGTATGTCCCAGCGCTTGGCAAACTGTACTGAAAAAACATCCTTCTGACCATCTGCACCATGCTCGACCAAGCTGTGCAGTGGAACTCAGAAGATTATTTGCAACATCAGATATGGTTCTGTCGTTTGACAACATTTAGTAAATAATTCTGACAGAACTAGGAACTGTACTGGAAATCAAGTTGAGATTATCACTCGGGCTCGCAGGATGATTCATTTGCACATGCCATTTGAATATATTCACACTGAGGTCATTATTCTTTGTAAGCAAATGAAATGCGTAGACACGCTGCATTTATATCCAACAAGAAAGGCTTATTGAGACAGCCAACCCCAGCAGCATCCCCATAGTAATGTCCTGACCAATTAGAGTCTACTTGCCTGGTGTTACTTTAATCAGTTAACGAAGATTGAGATGAAAGCAAACAACGTTGATGCTGGAAATCTGAAACAAACACAGAGAATGCTGGAGAAACTCAACAGGTCTGGAAGCATCTGTAAAGTGAGAAGCAGAGTTAACGGTTCAAGTCAGGTTCTGAAGACGTCATGCTGAACTCGAAATGTTGACTGAGATTGAGAGTTATGAAGATGTTGTGAAACTTGAGAGGGTTCAGAAAAGATTTACAAGGATGCTACCAGGGTTGAAGAGTTTGAGCTAAAGGAAGAGGCTGAATAGCCTGGGGCTATGAGGGTCGTGCGTATGGAATGAGCTTCCAGAGGAAGTGGTGGTACAATTACAACATTAAAAAGGCATCTGGATGGGTACATGAATAGGAAGGATTTGGAAGGATACGGGCCAAATGCTGGCAAATAGGACTAGATTAATTTAGGATATCTGGTTAGCATGGACAAGTTGGACCGAAGGGTCTGTTTTAATGTTGTGCATCTCTATGACTTTAGGTGCTTTTGGATGTCCTAAGATTGTATAAAATGCAGCGTAAATGCAACTTTCTTCCTGACAATGAGGTGGGGACAATTAACAGAGGGAACTCACCAGGTTCTTAATAAGAATCTCCAATTCTTTATGCGCCTGCTTTATTGCCTCTTCTTTCCCGACAATGGTGATTAGCTCCTGGTCCCTATCGTCTGCTGCTGGGAAGATGATGCGGGCTCCCGTGCGGTCCCTCACCCTGCGGATGTTGCCGCCACCCCTTCCAATGAGAAACTTGTGGTATTCCGGTTTGGCGTGTAGCTCTACAGTACAGTTGTTAATTTGCTGCGGGGTGGGGAAGGAATCGAGAACAAACCACTTGAAATCAGGATAAAAATGAAGAACTGCAGATGCAGGAAATGTCAAAGACAAAACAGAAGTGCTAGGGAAACATAGCAGGTCTGGCAGCATCTGTAGAGACAGAGAAGCAGAATTCTGTTTCTCTCACCGCAAAACCTGCTGGATTTCTCTAGCACTTCCTGTTTATATTTAATCTCAAACCTCTCCCGCTGATGACATTGGGAGGATTAATTGTAAAGTTCTACCAAAGAGCTGACACAGACAAAATGGGCTGAATGGCCTTGGTCAGTGCTGTATCATTCTGTTTTATTTTGCAGCCTCACCATAATCTACTGTACTCCCGTGTTAGTAAGACTACGGAAGCCATACGCTTTTAATCAGTCTTTTTGATGAGTTCTGAGAGACAAGTGTGAATATATAGTCTTGATATTTTTTGTACTTGCTTGTGGGATGTGAGCGGAATTTATTGCCAGTCCCTAGTTGCACCTCAGAAGGTGATGGTGAGCTGCCTTCTTGAACTGCTATAGTCCAACTGCTATCCACAATGCCATTAGTGGGGGAATTCCAGGATTTATGACACTGAAGGAGCTACAATATATTTCCAAGTCAGGACGATGAGTGGCATGGAGAGGAACTTGCAGGAGGTGGTGTTACCATGTATCTGCTGCCCTTGTCCTTCTAGATGGGAGTGGTCATGGGTTTGGAAAGTGCTGTCTGAGGACCTTTGGAGAATTTCTGCAGTGCATCTTGTAGATGGTACACACTGCTGCTACTGAGCATGGACGGTGGAGTGAGTGGATGCTTGTGGATGTGGCACCAATCCAGTGGGCTGCTTTGTCTTGGATAGTGTTTTTTTTTAATTCGTTCATGGGATGTGGGCGTCACTGGCTAGGCAGCATTTATTGCCCATCCCTAATTGCCCAGAGGGCAGTTAAGAGTCAACCACATTGCTGTGGATCTGTAGTCACATGTAGGCCAGACCAGGTAACGATGGCAGTTTCGTTCCCTAAAGGGCATTAGTGAACCAGATGGGTTTTTCCAACAATTGACAATGGATTCACGGTCATCATTAGATTCTTAATTACAGATATTTATTGAATTCAAATTCCACCACCTGCCATGGCGGGAATCGAATCCAGGTCCCCAGAACATTGTCTGGGTCTCTGGATTAACCATCCAGGCAATCGCCTCCCCAAGCTTCATGAGCGTTGTTGGAACTGCACTCATCCAGGTGAAAGATTGGAAAGGTAGTGCAGGGGAGGAGGGATAACTAGACCTGTGTGCATTACCACTCAGCCATCAACAACTGGTTCAGCACAATGTGGACGGAAAACTTGAACAAATGCGTTAATGCTGCTGATAAATCATCTAATTCTGGCTTAGTGCAAATTGGACTCCTGCGGAGATCTTTTTTTTTGCTTCCTGCTGTACTGTATTTGCCACGTCTTTTGCTTTAACCTTTTTGCCGCATACATTCTGTTGTTCAGAATGGAGTGGCTTTGGACAATGCTAATTTCTTAACCTGTGATGGAATCAGGCCACAAAGGCTCCCATGAATCATTCAAAATGCCACATGCAATTCTTTACATCCGCCATTTGTTGCTCCCAGTAATTGAAATTTCTCAGCAACAAAATAAAGACTATCTTACTGAATATTGTCACTTCTGTTCTTTTAAGACGCTTCTTTATAGAGACTGCCCCTTCAAGATTTTGTCCCACTACATCCTTAAGTGCTCAGTGTCAAATTTTATTGGACAGCCCTTCTATAATGCACTTGGGATGTGAAAGGTGCTTTGTAAATGAGCAATATTACTGGAATACCTTCTCCTCAGCCAGCTGAAGCAGTTGTTTCCTTGCTTTCTCCACTTCCTCGACAGGGCCCCTGATGGTCACTTTGTCACTGCCTGAGCCTTCAGAAGGGAAATGGATGTGCACCCCTCCACATTCCTCCATGAGTGACCGGACCAAACGCCCCTTAGCACCAATCAGAGAGTTGTGCAGTTTGGCAGGGATCAAAACATCCACCTCCTTGATATTCGCCTAAAGCAAACACAAAGGCAATTAAAGAAAGACACACAACTACGCGCGCATGTGCACACACACACGCACACACAAGCACACACAGATACAAAACATGAACACACACAAAAATACAACATGGACTCCCACAATGAACTACTGCATAAAGAACCTGTCTCAAAAATGCACTGAGAAAGATCCCACGTTCAACTTGTAAACTGTGCACAATTAGTTCAGATGGTGTGACAAATTCAGAACAACTGTAGCAGGCCTTGATCTGAGATCTCACTACCAGGAACAATAGAATCAATGCTGAGTGATTCCAAAATGCCAGGGGAGGACTCAATGGTGTTAGATTGCAACTCCACATCCTACCAATATCTGCAAAACACTATGTTATATACTGACAGACCTGACCCCACCAGTACTGTACCCCATTGTTACACAGTGACGGACCTGTCCCGACCAGTACTGTACCCCAGTGTTATACAGTGACAGACCGGTCCCCACCGGTACTGTACCCCAGTGATATACAGTGACAGACCTGTCCCCATCGGTACTGTACCCCAGTGTTATATAGTGATAGACCTGTCCCCACCAGTACTGTACCCCGGTGTTATACGGTGACAGACCTATCCCCACCAGTACTGTACCCCAGTGTTATACGGTGACAGACCTGTCCCCACCAGTACTGTACCCGTGTTATACAGTGACAGACCTATCCCCACCAGTACTGTACCCCAGTGTTATACAGTGACAGACCCGTCCCCACCAGTACTGTACCCCAGTGTTATACGGTGACAGACCTGTC